GGTGAGATTGCCATGGTATTATCCACAAAGAGTATATTTGGAAAAAGAAAAACCTTTGACACTAAGGTGCACAGTGAAATGCTAGTCCATGTTGATGTTGTTATTAAAGAAAAATATCGAAACCGAGATCCACCACACAAAGATAATGTTCCATCAAAATAATGCAAGACCACATGTGTCTGCATTCACCAGCTGGGCTCTGTATGGACTTAAATGGGATATTTTGCCACACTCACCACATAGCCTACACATCACTCCTTCGGACATCTACTTTTTTTTATGCCTGCAGCTATATCTTGCTGTTATCTTCCATTTTGCACAGGATGACCAAAATGAGGTTGATCTGTTTCTGGACTCGCTGCCACCAAGTTTCTGAGACAAATGCTTTAAAAAACTACTAAAATCATAGATTTGGGCAAGGATTACTACCTGCTTTCTTTCTCCTTTTTGGGGGGGGATAGAAAATCATAGATTTACGTGGTGATTACTACCTGCACTAAAGGTACTACTTTCATGTTTCCCCCCCTAACTTTTTTTAAGAATTTTTTTGGCGGAAAACTTTTATTACAAGAGAAAAAAGTGCACGCTGTTTGGAAGGAACAAAAACATTACAACCAGGTAATTACAAATGAAGGGGGCTAGCCAGTCTTAAAATACCTATTTTAAAGAAACAGACTATGACACGGTCAAGTGTAATATGCAGGATCTTTTGCATAACAGATTCCCAACAAAAATGCTGAGATTTATGGGAGACAGTAAGATTGTTCACACAAGAGTCTTGCGGTCATAAAAGGCATAAGTCAAACTTCATTGTTAAGTAGTGACACCTTATTATGTCACATAAACATGGTGCATAACAGGTATACGGATTTTGTCCAAATATTCTAACTGTTCAGCTTCATGCCAGCCTGATATACAAATCGCCCAAGCATAGCAAAGCATTTTTAAAGGTTTTTCTTGTATCTAAATTTTTCCCATGCACAGAAATTATCAAGTTTTTATTTTTTCAAATGACACCAACTGTACATTTGAATAAATTATATCCCCCCCAGACACCAACTGCATCCATTTTGTAGTTTTCTAATAATGTTTATGTTATCTTCAAGACAGAGCACTTTACATATACAGTTTGCCATGCAGATGATTTTGGCACAGAAAACTGAGTGTAGAAAGTTTGGTCAAGGAATGTGTAAGAATTTTGCTCTTCTGGAAAAGATAAAAAAGAAACATAATTTTATGAACAACGAGTCTTATCCAATGTGCAATGACAACGCATTACCCCCCTCAAGATATGTATAGTGGCAAAGCCAAAATTCAATAATATTTATTAAAAATATTTGGTACTTTCTGGTTATCTGCACTCTTACTGAAAAGTATTTATAGAAAACTGCCAAAATACTTATGCGACTATTTTGGCAGAATACTGCCAAAATACTGTATATTTTGTCCTACTGTCAAAATACTCGGTAGTTATGCGACAAAGCATAATGTTCCGAAATGTATTTTTGTAGCAGCCCAGATATGTATGTAGGACATGTCTGCTCTGATTGGTGCACAATGCTGAAATTGCATGGATGCCGAGTTGGTGCATTTCTCTGATTATTCCCTCCCCCCCCCAAAAAAATGAAAACAGATAGCTGTAGATAGATGTAAAAACAGTTGTTTTTACAGCTCATACATGGTAAAAACAATAGTGCAAAAAAGATGGATTTCTAAAAACAATTTATGTGCTTTATTATCTCTCTCTCTCTTTTTTTTTTTTTTTTTTTTTTTTTTTTTTTTACATCACTGATGGACTACTCTCATATGGAATTAGAAAAATAACTAAAGTACTTAAACTAAATACAAGCGGATTTATGTTTAGTTATTTTTTCAATTTATGTGATTGTAAACTTATAACTGCGTACACTTTCAATGTTTATATTACATATGTCTTTTAAGTGTTTTATTATGTTTTAAGTATATTGCATTTGCATATATATTTGTGATAAATATTATGTAATGTATATATTGTATATATATCTTTATTCTCATATCATATCATTGTCATAGTATTGGATATCACATTATAAACAAAAAAACTATTGCACATAAGCGGAATCTCTGCCATCTCCATACTTAATGTATGAATCTTTTGTTTATATATTCTGGATAGAGCATCCTTAGGGACATCACCAGAAGTATTAGTATCTCCAGATTATGGAAGACATGGGATAAATATCAGCTTATCCAGGGTTCATAGCCACTTTTTAGTTAAAAAAATAAGCACCTATAAGCACTTTTCAAGCACATTTTAAGAAAAAAATAAGCACCTGTCTAATTACATTATACACAACTGCATAACTTCAAAAATTAGACTCGTAATTTAAAATATGAGAAATGCAGTATTTATTAAGAGAGAATAAGCATTACCTCAACCATGGACAAAAATTACTTTTTAAAAAAAAATTAAATAACAGTTCAATTTACAGAACTAGTTTACAATGAGAGAAAAAAAAAAACTATGCAGAACTAAACTATATTACAAGATTTAATGATGAAACTTCAGTTCAAAATAGAGTAAATAAATAATAATAAGGCAGATTTATTCTATTCGCTTGGAACTTAATAATAAATACAATTTATTTTTCCACTCATATTGATTTAACTAATTTAAATCTAAATTCTGAACATTTTCTAAATTTTCATCGTATATCAGTTTTCCCTTAACACATATTGCAAGCAAAGTAATTTAAGTAAAAAAAAAAGGAACATTTCTGAAATCAGAAGACAGAAATTTGCTTCATGCAGTCATCCTTTAATAGTAAAAGCTTAACTACCCGCATACTTGAAAATTAGCGAATATTCGGACAGGCGAGCGTAACTTGAAAAAGAGGAGTGGAGAGGGGGCGATAGACTGTAGCCGTTCTTTAGATTTTTCTGATAAATAAACGCTTTTGACATTTCGATATGTGCATCATATAAAGACAAACCAACGGAAGAGAAAAATATTCTGCTTAGCAGGCACAGTAAAACTCTTTTAAGTGTTCATAAACAAATCTCAGACCGAACATCAAAATTAATTATCTCTGCAAAATATCGCAAACATTATTACGCAATACTTCCCTACATGATATTACGCAATCGGATTCAACAGTTGCCGGTATTGGGAGAATAAAGAACTAAATAAAGGAAAAGAAAGAGACTTACCAATCTGGGGTGTTTTTCATTCTAATTTTCAATTCCGGAATAGAATCATTCTTCGCTTGGATTGGTAGACCGCAGAACTTTTAGTCCTTTTCAATCCAGATTGGAAAGTGACAAAAAAAAAAAAAAAAAAAAAAAAAAGTTCGTTGCTTGTTTTGCAGCGAATTGTAACAGTTTCAATATTCGAGATTTTGTGGAGAAATGGAAGAACCTCTCAACCTTCGTATTGTATAATGGATTGGCCAAAAAAAAAAAATGAAATCATTTTGACTACTTGATTACTTTCCCTTTATTTAAGCCATTTCGAATATTATTAATTAGAAAGCTAATCTGTTAAAACACAACCATTTTTGGAAGTTTACTATACTTCAGCAGTTACTGCAACTATGTTATTATGAACATTCATACATATACTCATAATATAAGCATAACGATCATAATAAACACGAATATGAACTGACCAAGCGGAATGAGAATGCAAATTATTAAGATCTTGATAAAAATTCAAATGTGTGTAGTATTTGGGTGGGAGGAAAAGAACGCCGAATGTACCGGAATTTTCTACTGCTTTCGCAATTCTTTGACCAACAGGACGACGGCCACCTGTCTGTACTCTCCGCGCACACCAAAGGTTATGTTAATGCAAAGAAAGGGGGAAAAGCTATTTCCGGGAGAATGGTTCACCATCTGACATTCCATATTAGGAAGAAAAGTTGTTTATTTAGTTTCGGGTTTGCTACGGGGGAAAATTGCGCGTTCATTTAAAAAAAAAGCACTAAAAGCAAAACATAAGCACTAAAAACAAAAAAAATAAGGGCTTTAAAGAAAAAGTAAGCACCTATAAGGGCCTTTATATTTTATTTTCAAATATAAGGACTTATAAGCACTTATAAGGACCGCTATGAACCCTGTTATCTCTATTAGGTATTAAGTATTCCCATTCTTTTGCCACCTGTATGGAATTCTTGGTGAGCTGCCATTTTAAAAATTACTTTTACCTTTAACGCATTAGCTTCATGAAAAATTAGTCGCCAAGAAGTTTGCAAATGCTTTTTAAAGTTAGAGACAATTTCACAACATTTGGTGTGGGTAATCAGGATGATTTTAAGGGTTGGTAAATTTTTCATTAAAACGCACAGAAATTCTTGAAAAAATATGAAAAATACTAATAAGTTTCAATTGAAAATATCACACACTTTGTTATTTTCAATTTTCATCCTGTGGATTCATCCTTGCTATAACAGTATAAAACAACATTACATGTACAAGAAACTGGAAAAGACAAAATGATTCATTTGTTATAAGCAAGGTTCAATGCAGTGAGTTAAACTGTAACTGATCTTAATAACATGGACAGGCCTAAATAATGTTTTCATGTGTCACACATAAAACTGCCAACATACATACTTAAACAAATAAACTTTTTATTCACTAATACTAAATTAAAACTTTTAAGAATTAATAATATATTATATAACAGACCTTCTTTGAAAATTTGCAGCTCTTCACCCGATTTCTATCCTCTTAGACTAAATCTTTTACCTTTTTATCCTATCGTAATATAAGAACATGTTTACTTTTAAAATTTAAACAAACCCGTTATGATAACACCTTGCATCAATTCAGCAGTTTTCAATTTTTGTCCTTATATTAACCATATGATATGCTTGAAATAAGGAACTCATTTAGATGTCTACAAAACATTATAATTAAAAAACGACATTCAACATTCACCACTTTTTATACTACAAGTATATGTATACAAAACAAAGTCTGATACAAGAAAAAAATTTTTATAATATAAAAAACTAAACCTGAATGTGATCCATTGCTATAGATTTCAGATTCCTCTTCAACATCACCTTCTGCTGCATCACGTCTCTCAGCCTTTTCAATTTTTTTCTGACAAAACTAAAAAAGACAGATAGAAATATATATTCACATATAATAATTTCCAGTTACAACAGTACTTTACATTTTATAGGACAGTATAATCTTTTTAATGTGAAAAATTATATTTTTTAGTTAAATTTTCAATCTAAATACTAGATTTTTATTATTTATTATTAAGCCTTAATTTTAATTACTTTATTAAATAGTAGTTTAATACACATACATACATAGGTACTTACGTATTATCACAACCAGGTTGGCGCAATTTGTAAGTTTGAGTAAAAAAGTATGAATAGAAAGAAAATGTACATTTATTAATTACAGATAATTTTTAATACAGTTTTTTATATTATTTTGTTTTAAAATATAAAATAGCAATTAAACCCTTCCGGTTTCGAATCTGAATAAGTTGCAGAATTATGTTTTCGGCGCAAATCTTTTGGCTATTGCTTTTAGCACTGATTGAAAACCGTATTCGCCATAACCATGTACACGTCGACTTATTTTTACTTAAACATCCCAGAATTGCACAAAAATGGCATTGCGCACACTCTTGACTTTATCCATCTACACTGCTATTTTCTCATAAATTACAAAAATTTGCACGAAAATGCAGGAAAATTTTGTGAATCTCCACATGCTCTTTTTACAAAACTACGTATAACACGTAGGGTTGCCGTAAGTAGGGTCGCCAAATTTGGCAATTTATGCGAATTTTGGCCTGGTTGCATTAATACGTAAGTACCCATACATATATATATTGTCCATTCACTAAACAAAGAACATAAATTTTACCAACAGATATATCGTTACATTGATGATATCATAGCCTTTAACAACCATAACAAAATAGAAGTTGCTAATATCTACCCAACTTGCTTAAAACTAAATAATACAAATACGGTGCAAAATAATGTAGTATACCTTGACCTAAATATCATTGATTACAATTTTATTAAAGTCTACGACAAGAGGAGAGCATTCACTTTTTACAAACTAAAGTTAACCAACTGGAATTCTAATATTTCCGAAAGAATCATCATTAACACAATTTTTTCACAGCTACTTAGAATAAAAAAGAATATGTAATACTACAGAACACTTACAAGAAGAAATACTTCACTTCGTCACAATTTTGAAAAATAACCAAATTCCTCATAAAATAATTAAAAATACCTTAAAAAAAGCTGGCATTAGCCTTACCAAATTTTAGATTATTTGTTTTGGATAATGAAATTTTATGCTTAAAGCCCAATGGGACAGTATAAAGTGGATGGCTGATTCAGATAATCTAATGTAAAAATTGTATAAATGTACAGATTATTCTCCTAAATACATTTTCTTTCCTCCAAAGATTTTGGCACTATACTTTAATACTATTATTTAATAGTTTTAAATTACTTAGAAGGCCAAATTCTACTATTATTAACAAATCGGGCCTTTTCATTTTTCATAGTAGCTTGACCGCCCTCTAGCTTGAAGAATGACGACTTTTATTAACAAATGACTTTTTTCCAATTTACTCTTTCTTTTGTGGCCAAAAATAAGTAATTTTAGCTGAATTAGCCATTTTCACTTATATTTGTAAGCAGTTTTGTTCTTCTAAACAACTTGACTGACGCCATTTTGAGTTCTTTCCGTGTCTTTTCACGTCTGTCACACCCTTCTATAAAAAAGGGGGGGACAAGGAATTCCCTGCCAAAACTACAATCTCAGCCCATTGGCCTATGCAGATTTTATTGTTTTGCCCACCTACTGTCACACTACGTCACACGAGAAGGAAGGTTGGTTTTTCCAATGCCACCTAGACTAGTGAAAAACAGCTACCTAGTCTAGGTGGGGGTTTTGCATCCTTTTCTAAAATTTTTTCGGATGCAAAGGACGGCTTTTGAACCCATTTCTAAAAATTTTTCGGATGCAAAGGACGGCACCTCTCTAGTCAGTTTTTTCGTTTCTTTTGTCTGTGTTTTTTTGGTCCTAATAAGACCCTACGACGTTTGCTTTCTTACAAATTTAATTGCTTATTAATTTGATTACAGCACCATTCTCTTTATAAAAGTTCTATCTTCTTTAAGCTATACAGGACCAGCCCGTACATTGTTGTAATTTTTTGAATAATAGCAGACCGCTATTTATTTTATTTTGATTTTAATTTTACATTGCTCGGAGTTGCAATTACTTTTAACACCCTAATGTGTTTTTCAGCGGACGCATCGGGAAAAAGGAACAGAGCAGTGAAGCTCCAAAAAAAGATTTATTCGGGAATATTCATGTTGTTTTTTACAAAAAAAATTTTTCGCATTCAAAAAGAGCTTCATTGGTCTGTTTCGGCGAAACGCGTACTGGTAATTAGCCTAGTTCGACACTCAGTCATTTTTCCCTTGAAAAGCCTGTTGAGGGTACGAGTGGGTTAATTTACCATTTTCCGCTATGTAATTATTGTATTTTTGCAATTTATGTTTTCTTTATAATTTTTGCATTTTATGTATTGGCATTTTTTCAGAGTCCATCTATTTTATATTTTTTTACATGTATTAACTTTTCATGTATATATATATTTTTTCCGTCAATCTATTTTATATGTGTGTTAACTTTTCACATATCACAATGGTCAGATTAATTTTTTCGTGCATTAGCATGTCTTCCAACATTAATTTTGGCATTTTTTTCGCGTGTTTACAGTTTTTCCAGGGAAAAAAATTTCTTCTTAGTTCATATTTTAGTAATACAGCGTTGAAATATTTCATGGAGCTACAGCTCCTTGTAACTTTTTAGCAAGATCGCTGCAATGTTTCTACCTACTACTATTATATATATATATATCTATATATATATATATATATATATAATTACAAAATAATTCTTTTGAAAACAAAACACAAACATACCTAGTTATTTTCGCGCATTAAGCTGCAGAAAAATTATCATTAAAGACATAAAGTAAGAAAGAAATTTAGAACTAATATTTCACAAAGACCAGAAACTGAAATTCATAATTAATAAATTTCAAATAACCACAGAAGTGCAATAATAAATTCAAAAATTTTAAAACATTTCAAATAAGCAAAACTCCTCTTCAAAAATTATGAAATTAAAAGAAAAATGAACAAAAATAGAAGAGGAATTCAATCAATCTCAATGTCATTTCATCAGGGGAGGAACCTTGAAATTAATAAATATCTCTCTTCTACAAAAATCCTTGCTTTTCTGTATCCAGAATTAGCTGATGAACCATTTCAATGTATTTAAATTATAATTATAATAGTTCATCCGAAAATTCTGGCCCTTCCGAAAAGCAAGGGAAATTTTTTTTAATTATAAACATCAGAATAATCTTAAATAAAGAGAATTCTATCCCTTTAAAAGAATTGAAAACAAAAGTGAAAAACGAAATTTCAATGAAAAAATTTTTAATTTAAATGTGAATCTTTAAACAGAAAATCCAATGAACTAAGATGTAGTTGAAAAACCTATTTACGTAGAACATACAAAACAAAATTAAGAACTTCCTTCACTCTGATTAGACTCTACTTTAAATTTGAAATACGATACAGAATATGACGTACATTTTTGCATCTTGGTTTCTTTGGCGAAACTTAAAAAAGTTTGGCAAGAAATTAATCGCTCAAAAGGCTACAATCTTGGTGGTAAATGTAATTTTGAAACCAAAAGGAAAACTTAAAACTATTTCAAGGAAAATTTTAATTTTATTTTTTAGTTAAAGAAACAGAAAGCATACTAAATGAAATTAAAATAAAATTTTTACTCTTGTAAAACACAAAGGGAAATAAATAAAATTATTTAGTGTAAAACCTAATAAAATTTAGAAAATGTTAAAAAAGGAATTCTTTTCTTTTATTATTTAAGTATTGAAAACGAAAGTGAAAAAACACAAGTGGAAAAACAAAATACTTCAGGGAACAATTTCTTAAATCAAAATGTTTACCTTTAAACAGATAATCCAAAGAATTGTTTTTCCACTTTCAATTTCAATACTTTTAAAAGAAAAGAATTCTTTTTTAAGATTTTCTAAATTTTATTAGGTTTTACACTAAATAATTTTATTTATTTCCCTTTGTGTTTTACAAGAGTAAAAATTTTACTTTAATTTCATTCAATTAGTATGCTTTCTGTTTTTTTGACTAAAAAAATAAAATTCAAATTTTCCTTGAAATAGTTTAAAGTTTTCCTTTTGAGTGGTTAATTTCTTGCCAAAGATTTTTAGTTTTGGCAAAGAAGCCAAGATGGCAAAAATATACATATCATTCTGTACTGCCTTTCAAATTTAAACTAGAGTCTAATGAGAGTCAATGGAGTTCTTAATTTTGTTTTGGATTTTCTGTTTAAAAATTCACATTTAAATTAAAATATTTTTCACTGAAGTTTCATTTTTTCACTTTTGTTTTCAATTCTTTTAAAGGGATACAATTCCCTTTATTTAAGATTATTCTAATGTTTATAATTAATTTAATTTATAATTATGTTTCCCTTTCTTTGGAGAAGGGCCAGAATTTTCAAATGAACTATTATAATTATAATTTAAATTACAATGAAATGGTTCATCAGCTAATTCTGGATACAAAAAAGCAAGGATTTTTGTAGAAGATATTTTGATTAATTTCAAGGTTCCTTCCCCTTGATGAAGTGACATTGAGATTGACTGAATTCCTCTTCTTTTTTCCTTCATTTTTCTTTTAATTTTATAATTTTTGAAGAGGTGTTTTGGTTTTAAAATTTTAAAATTTACTATTGCATTTCTATGACTACTTGAAATTTATTAAGTATGAATTTTAATTTCTGGTCTTTGCGAAATATTAGTTTAAATGTCTTACTTTATGTCTTTAATCTTATATGTGTGTGTGTAAGAAAAATAAAGAATACGTAACATGTAAGAAAAATAAAAAATACATAAAAGATGAATTATAATTTATCTTTTATGTATTCTTTATTTTTCTTACACATTACACATTCATCACTTTTTTAATTGTGATAATTTATTTGAAGCAGATGAATGAGGAGGTAATGACCAAGGGAAGACGCTGTTGAGCTGAACATTTTTCTAGAGGACATATTCCGTTATCAATACACAGTTAGGTGGCGATAGTGATGGAGAAATTGAAGATTTAGAAAGCATTTCTTTTCACAGTCCTTTATTTTGCTTGGTAGATGTCTAACAAGTTGCTTGGTAGATGTCTACATACTTTCTTATGACATAGCTTGTTGCAGTAATTTAGAATACACACCCATTCTGGTCATTACACACATTATAAAATTTACCTGCATAGCATTATGTGATGAACGAAGGAAGAAGAATGCCAACACAACGGCACTGATTATTCGAAGAGATCAAGGAAAATTTCTAGCGGTATTTATACTGAGTGTGTGCATATGTAAAGCTAAGCTGCTTTTGTTCGTTTAAGAAAAACAAAGAATATGTACAAAAAATAAAGAATTTATAAAAGATAAATTATAATTTAAATTACCAGTGTAAATTAATTTCCTTTGCTCATTCTGAAAATAGTAATCACTATTTGCACTGAGTTGTTTTGAGAATAATTCATATTATTACTAGCTGTTTGAGTTATCAGAATTATGTGAGAGTCATATGTCAACACAAACAGCCAATATTAATTTTACAGCAGTATTAATTATCCAATCAAAAAGCATTGGGAACCAAAACTAACTCAGTTTGTATTAAGATTTCATCCTGAACAGAACGCACCTGGCTCGCTACTCTTCAGCCTAGCTGGACTGCTGTCTGCTGCTTCCTTCTTACTGCAAAGTTATTAAAAATGTAAACCTCTTGAAATAGGCACAAATAATGTGCCATGTTGTTTGTGGCCACAGCCTGTTTACTAAAATAAAATAAATATTTTATCTGCCTCAGCTGCTAGTTTCTGATTCATAGTAGATCGGCATTTCAGCAATCTAAAACATCAAAATTCTTGCTGTTCATTAGAGATTCAATGTTCTACGTTCTGCACCATCAATATTACAAATCCCATTATTATTACATATATGTATGTGTGTGTACACACACATATAATACATATATATATATAATGAATAAAAAGTTAAAAGTAGTTCAAAGCTTATTCTAGTGTACACTGAAAGCAGCGAGGAGCAGTGATAATAATGCAAAATAAAATAAAAATATGTTTGAAGTCCATAATATATACAATTTGAAACAAATCACATGCAAAAAAAAAAAAAAAAAATATGATTTTTTTCCCTCTTACAAACTATTATTTTTTACTACACCATACTTAATAGTACATTAGAAGTTTTCGTAACTTTTTATGACTATCAAGTAATATAAAATTTGAAATTTATCTTATCTAATTATTTAGCATGTTATATTTAACTAAGGTGATTTGCTACTGGGCAGTATGAAATAATATTTTTTCATTCAAAATTTTCTTGCTATTATGTTACAGATTTTAAGAACTAACTCTTCTCTTTATTTTATTTTTAGCCCAAAGGAACAATCTGCTCAGAAAAGCTATTAATTTCATTTTGTGTCATCCCCTATAAAAAGATGATAGACTTTTCAAATTGTTCTCACGAAATATGAGAACCTTGCATTATATTTAAAGAAATGAAATACAGTCAAAAGTCGTTAATTCGGACACCCATAATCCGGACCTCAAAGCTAAAATCTTTCCGCGCATGCGCCGCGTTGACACATGCGCATAGGCGTTTACGCGTGCACGTAAGACCTTTACGAACCTGCGCATTTGCGTGTGCGCAAGCGCAGAATACATTTTTCGCGTGCGTGCGTTTAATGTATAACGGAACGGTATAAGCTAAAATAATCTAATTATCTATTTCAGTTAATGTTGATGATTGCGTTGCTCCTTAATTTTCGAATTGGATCCGGCTTATTATTTTTTGCAGACTGTAAAAGCAATACTATAAAAGTAAACTTGAACTTTCGATTATGTCAAATAGAATTTCCGAATCTGGAGCTCCCAAAGGATCGTACAAAACGAAAGTATGTTTCGATGTCATCAAACAAAAAGTGGAATTGCTGCAAAAAATCGATAAAGACATGAAGAATGTGACGGAGAGGTTAGTGAAAACGAAAAAATTTCGATTGACAAGTTAGTCGGTATTCTCGGCACGGCAATTAACGGGACCTGAACAGCGAAACTTTGTAACTGAACAAAAAATTATGTCTGTTTATAGAATTAAAGAGAAAGTATTATCACATAAAACGAAGCAACTTAAACAACTTACATTGAAAGAAATGTTTAATAAAGTAAACAAATAAATATTAAGCTTTTTTTTTTTTTTTTTTTGTAAATTTTGATACCCTTTAGATCATAAATGTTCTTTATTTCATAAATTACGGTTTCATATTTTTAATTTTAGAATTTCTGCATGCCACCTTACGCGATTTAAACTGATGATATACAATCCGGAAAAATCGATAATCCGGAATCACCGAAGTCCCGATGAGTCCGGATTAAGGACCTTTGACTGTAATAAAGAATCTGCATGAATGTATGCATGTTTCTTACATTGTGAAAAACAATGGTATATAGAGAGACATCAAATTTTGAATAATGTAATCCTCCAATCGATTATGGGCACCTGAAAGCCCAAATTTGGAATTTATTTTATTATCAATTTCATATGTTGCAAAACTTTTAACAAATTTTTAATTAGCAAAATCAATGATTTCAAAGTGAGTAATGGCAATACTGTTGGGTTAAAAAACATTTTAATCTTCAGCATGAGAAACTATGTATTGGAATTCTAATTATACACTCTTTTTAAATATTTTGCGATATTACTGTTGAATTGAATTTTATTGTTTATGTGAGAAGAACACGATATTTAATAATTAATTTGATATTTAATTATTTAATAATTACTAAAGGTAACATACAAAACTTTAGAATAGTGTCCCTTTTGGGAATAATATAAAATCAAAAAGCATTCAAATTTTTTTATGCAATTTTTATTTGCTATTCATTTTTTGGTACTTTGAGTTTACCCCATCGACCATTTTCGCCAAAAGGTAGCTTCTGCATCAGTAACTGCAAATAAGTGTAATGCTTGACTATATGCGAGTTAAGTTTTCTTTAGCGTGTTGAAATATACTGCTTTTTTTTACTCCACTGCAAAATATTTCGAATTTTGGATTTGTCTAGCACCGAAGAGAGTGCAGTGGCATACTTTCAAGAGTATGGAATCATTTCTTCTAGGAAAATTTGTGTTAACGGCCATGATATGGTGTTTTATATCAAAGCTGATAAGCATTTGCGATGCAATGTAAATGGGTGTGATAAATGAGTAGCTATTTGAAAAAACACAAAATTGGAGGGCTCAAAACTCCCATTTCTGACTTTATGTCCTTGTTCATAATAAACTAGTCAAGATGAATAAGCATGAAAGCAATTTTCAACAGTATGTTTCTGACAATTGCATAACTTTTTTTCTGCATTCTCTACAATAGTGCATAAACAGCATATTACAACACTGTTATTACTCATATTGACACAATGTTCAGAATTCTCATATACTTACATATTACACTGATTTTATATTACAAAGTACTTTATCTATTTTTTTGTTATATTATTTTGGTTAGAGTAGACTGAAGGGTACCCCTTGTATTATCGCGAAGTTGTTGTTTCGTTTATCATCACATTGTTTCATTTATGGTAACGTGAGTAGTTGAATGTTCTGTAAATATACCTTTACCTAGAATTGGGTGCTCTTTTTACTTTTTAAGTGAAAATATATCGATGTGTACATGGACAAAGTCAAGGGAGTGCGCAATGCCAAGTTTGTGCAATTCTCCGATTTTTTTTTTAAAGTGAAAATAGGTCGACGTGTACATTGATAAAGGGAGTGGGCAATGCCTAGTTTGTGCAATTCTGTGATTTTTTTTTAAAGTGAAAATAGGTCAGTGTGTATATGGATATTGAGTTTGTGCAATTCTTTGACTAGTTATTTCATCTTTGTGTAGCGGTGATTTTTAGTGCTAAAACAAAGCCAGAATAGCAAGTCAAAGAATTGCACAAACTCAGTATCCATGTACCACCAAAAATCACCAAGGAGTACCCGTAAATACACTTTTACCATTATTTCAAGAGAATATATTTTGTAAATATGATGTGCAGATGTAATACAGAATATGAATTGCATTTCATAATTAAAAAAATGTAATAAATATTAGGCACATTTTCATACAATAATATTTAAAAAAAAACAGTATCAAAGAAACCCTAGCAGTCACTTAATATGCACAAAAAATATTATAGCAATTAATTTTAAGCTTCTACAATAATTCTAACTTCTTTCTTTCTTAAAAACACTAAACTAAAAAAAAAAAAAAAAAAAAAAGAGTTTCCTTCTAATATTCTTCCTATTAAAAATTTCAAATACATCTGTACATTTCTTTACACTCAAAATATATAAAAACTTTTACCATATTGTCTTGCTTTTGATACAACATTCATGAAAATCAGAGAAAATTTAATTTCGCATTTTAAAAATTCCTTTATTTTACTGAGCATTTCATTAATGTTATCTTTGTGCAGTACCTTTAATATTAATTGTTCAATGTTTCATCAACTCAATCTCACCAAAAACTAATTTTTATCTTTCAATATTTATTATCGTTGTTTCATAGAATTATCCCATTAACTGTAAGATTTGAAAAGTAATTTAAATGACCTTGTGAAAGCATTCCGAAAAACTGTTTAAAAAATTCAGACAGTCTCAGTAATATAACATTCGCTACTCTATTACAGTAGCGATGATTTAAAATTACATATGTGCGACTGAATTTAAAGTCTAACGGAAATAGTGCTAAATAAAAAACTGATAAATTTATAAATATATTACCTCGAATAATTTAAGTAGAAATCTGGCATAATTATCGTGCAAACCCAGAGACCTTCCTAACGATGCTATGAATAGTACAAATATAATTACAAACACCATCTTGAAACAAACTGAAAGCACTCAGATATCATCACAGATATCGTTGAAAAAGTACTAAAGAAATCATCTTTTCAAAAACTGCTGACACTGCGGTCTACAAGCGGTTCCAAAGATATTAACGCAAAACTTAAAAGGTAAGAAATTCATGAAGTTTCCAACAGCAGAGTACATCATCGCGGTGCGCTGCGTGCTACTAAATTACCGCAAGCCGTCAGACAGACAGACAGACAAAGTAGACAGATGTCTTGTTTTGCACCCGCTAAGTCTTTCTGCACCGATGGACGAAAAATCAAGCATAGGTGCGAAGGAAAGGTATATAGAAAGGGGGGCAATTTCGTATTTGAGGAGAGTAAAAAGAAACTTCGTACATTTTTTTCGAGTTCAAAAGGCCAGAAAGAAAAGATGGGACAAAATAAAATTTAAAATAAATGGCCCAGAAATAATAGAGGAAAAAAAAAAAAAAAAAAAAAAAAGGCCTAAAGAAAGAAAAGGAAAAGAAGTAGAAAATATCCTAAAATACGATTGTGTCCATGAGTGTAGTTAAGGAGTTCATCTGCAAAAATTAGTGTCTTTAAGAAGCAAACTTTAGTTAAGTTCAATAAAAAAAAATAATAAATGAATGAATTCCTACATGGTAATGTGTATGCCCTAATCTTGAGACCTAACTAGAAAAGACATATATCATCACAGAGATGTACATAATATTTTAACTAAAGTAACATTAACTATTGCCGTTCCCAAAAAATTCATGTATATTTCAGAAAAACAGTAATTGACAAAATCATAAATCCATACACAGTGTGAGAGCATATCAACAAAAATAAATTATACAGTTTAATTTTCTTAAATATTAGTTAAATATAAAATTAATTTATTAACTTAACAGTTGTAATTTATTATAGTACAAATTTAATAAATTCCGTCACCCTGTATTTATATTTGATCATAATTCCAAGTTTGATACCTGAAAAAAAAAAGGTCGAGGATCTTAGTTACAAAAATCACAATCTATACTCATCGATGGCCAAGAGATTCCCATTTTTTCCCTCTCAAGAAATTCCTAAGCACGAAGAGGGGGGCCTCCGAAGGGTGTGAATTGCTGATAAGAACGGAGTACTGATAAGGAATGTGGCGTCTCTACGGAATAGTTACGAAGAAAAGAACCACATGACTTGCTACTATTACTAACTATTGTATAATGCTAGAATCTTATGAAAAATAATAAATAAAGAAATTTAATTGCACTCTAATGATAGAGAAACATATATTGTATAAAGAACAGAATGTTACTTATCTGAATATTCCGTGTCAGGGCCTCTTTTGGATTTCTCGTGTTGATAGTAAGCAGCTAACAAAACATCTGAAGTTTCGAAGAAGCGACGTTTCCTTTTTTCAATTTGATGAATGAGACATTGCATAGGAAAGGTGAATTAAACTTAGAGTTGAAAATTTAGAGAGTTGAAAATATTTACTGAAATAGTTATTTAAAAAATTTCGGAGCTATGTTTAGACACTGCCTCCAGCTTTCGTGATCGCAGCGCCCTCCCGAATCCGAATACGAATGATCAATTACCGCATTCTGAGTTGACATTGAATTACTTAACTCATGGTTTCGATTACGAAATAGGTATTTTCATATCAGTTGACAGATATCAGACTTAATTAGTATTTTCCTTTATGAACTTCTTCCTTTTGAACTTTTTGAAATTCTTAATTGTTAATTTCTGAGGGTACCACTTTATTGGAATTACTTTGGTTTTGACTTTTACCCTTGCCTGCATGAATGACCAAGGAGGTTAGAATTCTAACCTCCTTGTGAATGACGAAACACGAATTGAATGATTGGAGAGTTAGGTTTGGAGGCAACTTGCCCTTGATAAGTCTGTCTCCTACCTACTCTACGATCATTCACATATGCATTTTTAAAAAAATTGTTTAATTTAATTTTAATTTATTAAATTAGTAGATTTATTTTCATGGATAGATTTTGCACTTGATTTGCTTATGCTTCTGAATTTAAATGATATTGTAGATTAGTTCGAGAATTAAATCTTTTACATGTTTTGCATATTTTAAAATTATTTTTAAATATTTTGGCTTTTTTTTTCCTTTTTTTTAGAATTTAAATTTGCATTTTTATTTTTTTACTTTTATACATATTTGTTAAGAATTTAAATTTGTTTCAATTTAAATTTCATTCCTTGCAGCAATGGCGCAAAGAATATTTAATTAAATATGTATTTAAATTTAATTTTTTTAATTAAACTTAATTTATTCTTATTTACAATATTTATGATATTTAGATGAAGCTGAAGAACAAATTACGCAATAAAAAAATTTTACGTTATATACAAGTATTAAAATAAAGTAGAATATCATTTATACAGGAACAGAAGGACAGTAAGATTCCAAATGAGGAAATTGAAAATGCAGTCACATGGTAACTGAAAACAAAGAATACTAAATTAAATTTCATTAAAAGTTGTACATTTCTAATTGTCCAATAGTATGCTTTTTTCTACACATAGCAAATTATTCATCTGAGGTATGTGCTTTAGCTTTGCTTGTTTCATTATTTGGCCGTATTTAATTCAAATTCTGAAGTCTGTAGTAGGTATGACATTGCAGGATTAGAAAAAGAGCTGCTTATTTCTAATTCAATAACCACTCACATTAACATTAGTTGAAAATTTATTATTCATTATATTTGTTATTTTTTTCAGCGATCAGGCATATTTTTTTAAACATGATTTTAATCTGCTATCTACGAAAATGGCAACATCCTTTTTTTGTTAGAAGAAATATATGAAGTGAATTGTTGGATATTTCTACAACATGGCATCTGCGGCTGAGTTACCACCGCCAGTTCGCGTTTCTCCATTTATTCGGGTAAATTATGTTAATTATTAATTATTCTTAAATTTCTGTTTCATGAATTTTTTTAAGTATTGTTTATTTTTGATTTCAAAGTAAGGGTATTTTTCAAAGGTTTGTTTAATTCGTACTTGTAATTTCTAGAGGTCACTGAGCAAAGACATTGAGAGGGTTGAAGTAATGGCTTATATTGTTTCAGTGATTAATAAAATTTCGATTTAAAACGACTTAGACTCATTATGATAATAATTTTTTAATGCATGTTAATGTAGTAGAAAGTTCATGTTAGTATGAAATAATGGAGAATTAAGTTATAGTATATGTGATTAGAAAAGAATTTTTTTTTCTTTAAATTAGTATGCATCAGATTCCTTCTGAGGGTTTTCATCCGCAGAGAACCCGTTGGTGCCGTTGCAATTTTTACTTGCCAAGGGATGAGCCGAGCCGTAAACGTGATTTTTTAGGGCATGTAAATTCAAATTAGCAGACAAAACAAAATATTAAGCATATGGTAGTAAAAAATTCACAGATAATAAGCATGTAGATGTAAAACTAACCGGTTAAACGTGATATACGAAAATAAAGCTGTATTTTTCATAATATATTTCACAATACAAATAACCTTCAACAGTAATCTAATTTTCTTCAGTAGCATTGTTAACAAAACTAGAACTTTATACATTTTATTATTTTTCAAGACTAATTTGAACTGTATTCCTTACACCAGCAGTGGTTTGCTAATTTTGATGACCATGGGAGATGCATCAAACTACTCTGTCATCTTAGATAATCAATATTTTTTATTTCAATTTAATCAGCTATTTATGTCACACCTGCCATCCTAGGAAAGGTTATTGTTAGAAAAGCATTAACAATATAGTATCTTGTTAAAATTTTACGCCATAAAAAATTGGAGCCGTGAACCGGCATCTATCGACGAAAATATTTCTTTATATTCGTTGTTAAAAAATTCAGAAAATAACGTGGAAAATCAGAAAAAATAATAATAAATAAGAAAAGAAGAATATAAATCTCCAAATGCGAACAACGACAGTGATAATTCAACAAAATGAACGCAAGAGGAATGGTTGCAACCTTCAAACAAGCGAATACGATGAATCCGATAGGTTACCAGGTTTGAACTATTATCACCAAAGTTGGCGATGTTTACATTTACCGGGTTCTCTGCAGAAGTGCTTCCCTTTCTGATATTAATATCATTGAATGTGATATATCGTGATCATGCAGTTTACGTGCATTAATAGGTTTAAGCATTGTTGGGCGTAAGGTATGCTTTTTTGTTGTGATGGCATGTTAGTCAACTTCAACCAGTTTCTGCATAAGGTTTCCTGAGTTTTATCCAAATGTAAGTTGAATTTAAGCCCAAATCCTTTATCCAAATGTAAGTTGAAGATAAGCCCTAATCCTCCATGAAATGATGCTTTATCATAACTATGCAGCACAGTTATGACTTAAATTAGCAGGGATATCTTAAATGTGGTACCTATTTGAATCTTAAGTGATATGTTTGTTCTGTGTATCTTGTTAGTGTGCCATATTTATATATAGTTTATTGCAGACCCCATAATATTTTAGGTTAAGTATAGTTTTTATGCATTCAACTTCCATAAGCACTTCCTTTTTTGTAGAATTATTCTTTTCATGTGTCTAATGCAAGCATAAAAATCTTAATCAATGGGGATAGAAATATATTAAGAAATAAACAATCTAAATTCCAAAAGTGAAGCAATTATTATTGACGATATAATAAAGAAAAGTTGCAGTATCCTCACCATGCTTCATACTAGGACATGGTTCTTTTAAGGCTAGCCAAAAATCAAATTCTATAGTAGTAATAGAGTAAATACAGAATATATAAGAATCGTTTCTTTTCTGTTTTGCCGATGCAGTCGATAAAGTCGCCAATAGTGGTACAACTGATGCCAAACTGAATATCCTCACTGGTAACATTTTACGCCTCATTTTCGAAACAAATCGCAGCCATTTCTTATCAGATTGATTGTTTCTTTCAGTACTGGCATAAATTTACATAGAATTTTTACCAGATAGCTCAGTTTTATGCCCTAAGGCCAGAGTCGTAGCTAGGGATTTCAGCGCCCAGGGACAACTGAAGATTTCGCGCCCCCTACTGCTTGCCAAGGATGGAAAACATTTAATTCTAAAATGTCGTAACATCAGTTTGGCACCCCTTGCATTCTGTGGCGGGGGACAGATGCCCCCCTCTAGCTATGCCCCTGCCTAAGGCCATTCGCATCGGCAAAACGGTAAAGTACCGTTTTTATCTAAGGAACGTGAATAATAACATAAAACAAATATCCTAAATGTGTCATTTTCAGATTTTATGTGATAATAAATGAGTTTTTTGATAAGGTTATCCATAAAAGTAAAAAGTATATTTTAGGGTACCCCTTGGCGATTTTTGGCAGTACATGGATACCGAGTTTGTGCAATGCTTTGACTTGTTATTTTGGCCTGTGTAGCTGTGATTTTTGGCACAACAAATACTCCAAGCAATACCCAGTTTTTAACTGATATTGACAGTACTTTTCCAACCTGTACCATCCTATGGTAGGTGCGGGCTTGGCAGGGACCGTGCTGGTGCTGTCGTGTCCGTTGCCTTCGCTGTGGGAGAGTTATTCATGTGGATATTAAGCGCTGTGTCGGGGGCTCCGCGCGCAGCCCTCAGTGTGATGGATTGTGGCGATGAACATGTGAAGTCCCTGCGGGCTGTTCGGTAGGTTGGCGCCCTGTCGACACAGTCGTCTGAGGGAGGCTATATGAACATGTAAGGCACCTCAAAGAAGCAGCCAGGGAATGTGGCCCGACTCGGTGTAAGTGTCCCTATCTGCTATCTAGCGGGACCATGCTTCATGTATACTTTCTTAAGAATTTATGAACAAAAAATCATGTGCACAAAATGATGGATTGTTTCTGGCAGATCTAGTAAATGCTTGATGCAATAAAAAATTAACATGAGATGGACAAATGTTATCCCAAGAATTTACTATACCCGAAAAAAAAAAAGAGAAGCACTATATACTGTAATTAGTCTGGAGTTGAGGTTGAAATAAAAGAATAAAGGGCAGAATCGCCCACTGCTTGGCACGTTTTTCAAAATCGCCAACTTGGCGTGTTCCCACGTCCTGTCTCCTGAATTTGCAACCCCTCCAGAAGAAGCTACACTAGGCACGATATTGGTAAAATAAATACAGGTACTTGTGTATTAATGCAACCAATTTGGCAACTTTTTACAAAAGAAAATGATGACATAAGTCAACGTCCCATTCGGTAAACTTATCGGCTGCAAACTGGTAATCTTGGCAACTTTAAAAAAAAAATCGCCATGCCATCGTTATTTATCTATGTCAGCAAACATTATCAACATATCTCAAGAAAACACATTTTAGTAATTCAGAATACATAATTATTAGACAAGGTTCCGTTGGTTCTTCTCGTATACACAACGAAACCATATTAAAAAAACAATAAGAGAACTGCACAAACTTAACATCACGCATAACTTCGGAGGGATCATTATCGACAATAAATGGTTAAACATTTAAGTATACAAAAGAGGTGAAGTAGCTTCACTGAAGAATTTTATGCGAATGGTTGCCCGATTTTGGCGCGTTGAAAATTTGGCGACTGGTTGCGATAATACATAAGTACCTAAATACAAGTTGAAGCAAAATTTTAAAAACTGAAAATTCTTTAAAAACAGCATAATAATTTTAAAAAATGAACATAGTTAAGAAAACATAGTAAGCTTCAAGAACTTAAAATCATTACAAAACCCTGAAGAATTAAAATTCATTCACCTATAAAAAAATTGGGGAAAGTGCAGAATCACCCACTGCTTGACGCGTTTTAAAGAATTTTACAAACTTGGTATCCATGTACACATCGACCTACTTTCACTAAAAAAAAAAATCCCAGAATTGCAGAAAAATGGCATTGCACACTCCTTTGACTTTATCCGTGTACACATCGACCTATTTTCATTTAAAAAAAATCCAAGAATTGCACAAAAATTGCCTTGTGCACTCTCTTGACTTTATCCATGTACACATTGACCTATTTTATTTTCACATAAAAAGTCAAAGAAAATTGACAAAAATCCAATTATTCTTACTCTTGTAAAAAGCGCCAAACAAATAAGTCTGAAATTTTTAAAACTGGAAATCCTTTCAAAAAAACCTAATAACTTTAAAAACTAAAATCGTTTCAAAAACATAGTAAGTCGCATGAACGAAGTTCAGGTTATCTCAGTCTAGCAATTAGATCTGTTTCCGATTGTTGTCGATCGTGAAGTTGAGGAATAATTGACGTGATAAGCTAGTGGCATAAGTTTCTTTCTTTCTTTTTTCTTTTTTTTTTTTCTGTAGCGAGAGTCTTGAGATGCAAGTCAATTCTGGATAGTAAGTATAAGCAATAATGGCAATGGGAGCGGTAATGTAGGATGAATACTTTCGGAGAGTGACGAGCGGTGAAGCATGCAGGCAGCAGTGGAGGCTGATTGAATTGAAGTCAGGAAAGCATCGAATTTGGCCAAGAAAAGAGCATTGGTTGGAGTGCGATAGTCATGTGTGCTGGGGGGAGGCTAAGGCTCTTTTCAGTCCATACAAATTTTGAGAGAAGGCCGAATAGTAATGAGGGGGAGGGTTAGGAATTAGAGTAAGCCTGCTGGACTTAGAAAATAATTTGAGTTTTTAGGCAATTGCTAAATTTCATTTTGCTTGAAAAAACTTTGCTTTAAACATTAATTTGAAAGGTGCATATGGACGACAAAAATCTAAATGAGCATGCATACATGATTCAGTTAAATGACAATGCCAATATAATTATTTTTACTTTTTTAATAAATTTTTAATTTTTTAAATAGTGATAATTTCTTAATAAGGCTCCTGGCCTCCTTCTGTTGCACTGGTCATTAACATTATACTGTAATGAACTTTGCGATTTTAATCATAGTCTCAACTAATTGAGGTGTGTTTGTTTCACTATGCAAGGCTTCGTTTCTTGTGTAATACGTGCTGTTGGTGATTTGTCTAAATGTAATGCTTTGAAGTCGTTGGAGTCTTATCAATGTAGAATTACAGACATAGCCCCAGACTATAGTAAGTTTAAAGAACATAAAATCCTTACAAAACCCTGAAAAATTAATACTTTCACTTCGAAAAAATTTTAAAATATGAAAATCCAGTCCTTACAAAAAACATAATTTAAAAAACTAAGAATCGTTTCAAACACTTAAAATCGTTACAAAACACTGAAAATTTAAAATACTTTCACTTACTTGAAAAGGGGTAATCCACTCCACTCAGCCGATGAACAAAAAGTAACGAATTCTCAAAATGTTTTTGAATTATTGTTTAAAATAACTGCACCTCTACCATCTATTATCGTCTACACCAATCAGAAATTCTAAATTTAAAAATACATAGTGAGCATGTGCGAAAATGCTCTGAAATTCGCCTTCCAGAATGGCAAAATCGACTTGTATACCGCATTTGGCGCACTTATCAATCTTGTACAAAGCGCCAAATAAGTGGGCGATTCTGCACTTTAGCTGCCATTCTTTCCTTACCTTCATTCTCCCCCCCTCCAAAAAAAAGTCAAACTTAACAAGAAAAATAAATAGATCTTCTTTTTCTAAAAGAATCTTGAACAGCTTCCAAGATTGTTAGATGTTCACAAAAATTCAGGTTGGGTGATATTTTTAATAATATGGTAGCGGGTATAGGCTAATACAGAAACAATGAAATTGCTTGAAGGTGAAAAAATCATCATGACCTAAAATGTGACAAGGAAAATAAGAAACAGGAAATAATCAAAATTAACATCTGTTAAGATATCATATCAAGAGGTTCCTAGTCCGTTTGAGGGTGTCATTTAAACTTTATATTAGTGTTGATATTTAACTGTATATCAGTTTGAATAGTAACTTCAGGTATAAAAGATTATGATTGGTAATAAAAATATAGAATAATAAGGTGGTCTGTATAAGAGTTGGGAGCTTTAAGATATATTAACTCAAAAACAGGAGTGTTGATGACCTTAAAAGCTTAATATCTCCATTGTCATTCTGCTTTGAAAAAGCAAATGTGTAAAGGAAGCATTTAGAGCAGGGGCCACCAAGCTTTTTGTCATTCAACCTAAGAGCATATTCTAAAATATGCTCTTACCATTTACTTTTTCAGGGTTAATTTATAGTTGAATAGAATTCATAATACATGCACTAAAAAAAAAAGAGAGAGATCGGTCACATTTAGCTTTGTGTGTTGGACACAATTTCTGTTTCATTAAAAATTAAACTTTCAGGTGGAATTTGATTGAAAACTAAAACATTTTTGTGGTGGGCACCCAGCACAAGCTAAATGTAATTTACCCATGAAGCTCATCATTGAGGGGGGACCAATATTAAATATAAAGGTTTTATACATAGCAAGTAATGAGAAAACAGTAGATGTTGCTGCTTGTATTTTATATAATGAAATTGAAATTCTTTAGAATGAAATATACAAAAAGCAGACACTGGTGAATTTTTTTTCCTTTATGACTAGAAATCATTGCTGAAATGAGTAATTATTTAACTGTCTTTGTCATTGAGAAATTGTCTGAGGTATATTCTGGGCAAACCTCTAAGGGAAAAAACAACACAAGAAAAAGTCCAATCCTTAGATGGGAATCAAACTGTAGCTTTTTAATATTGGATTGATATTCAGCCTTTCATAATTGTTAGTGGCTAGAGCAGTCAGAAAAAGATGCTTTTAAAAGAATGTTGGCTTCATTACAGTTTGCTGAAAATAATGCCAAATTTTTTTACATATCGAGCTAATTTGGGTTATTAAAAAGGAATTTCAATTCCCTGTCAATTTCAATTGAGAACTGAATGTGTTTGCTGTATTGCCTTTTGCCAAGTGAATTGTTTCTTTAACATTTTACGGCTATTTCTAAGTTTTTTTCCCCCCTTCTTGATAGGCTTGCAGGTATGGAGCTTTAGGTACTGGATTCATTTATGGTGTTTTACGATACAGTAAGTTTTTCGTTTATTAGTGCATTTCTGAATTTTGTTAATAATATAAGTATTCACATAAACCTTACAAATAATTTATATATTGTTGATTTTTTGTGAGTAAATTTGTTATTTTGTTTCAATTTCGTAATGTCACTTAAAGATATTAAAAGGAGAATGTAATGTATTTTAGCTAACATAATCATTGTAACTTTTGAAAACTTCCTTGTGTGTCAACCTTTGTGTAGTTGCAGACTTTCTTAACCTTCCAGCACGCGCGCTATGCACAAAATTTACGACAAATTCACTTTTTAATGCACATTTTTCGCATATCGCAGCTGAAACGTCTGAATATCATTCCTATTCCTCTTTTCAACTCTTCCCCACATCATGGAATGTGCCAAAAGGAAGTCCTATGAAATTTTTTGCTTTTTTACTGAGCTTTTGCACTACGTGGCAGCTTCATCGTAAAAGTTACAACACGCGTGTGATCGTGGGGGAAAATCTGTTTTCTCAAATATTTTGTGTTATTAATTGATGTGTGTTATTTTAATTTGTGGAAATTCGAGTCTATAATTTTTATATTGGTTTTCATGGTTAAAAAAAAAAAAAAATATGTGCAACCAGCTGATTTTGCTCGCATTCTTCAAGAATTATCTGATAAAGAAAAAGAAGACAAGGAAACTTTTAAATGTGAGAATAATAGCACTTACCTGAGTGGAAATGATGACCTAATTTGAATTGTTATATATGATAGGAATAAAAAAAGGACACCATGTAAATGCAAAGAATTGTTCTTAAGTGATAGCACTGGAATTGAAATAACAAGAGATGTGATGATCTACAAGAGATTTTTATTTCTGACAAGATGTCTGCGATTTGATGATAAATCAATAGGACAGGACAGATGAATATTAAAACTAGCTTGGATTTTAAGATGTAGTTATTAAAAAATAAATTTTTATAATGAAATATATCGTTGCTTTTCCACCTGATTGATTTGAATGTTTAAAAATAATTTACTATCATTTAAATGTGACATCATTTGTATTTTCCAGTAGTAAGGTTAATATTTTATGTTTTAACAAATTTATTATCAATATTCACTCATTTCTGTCATTTTTCGTGCCAAAACTAAAAAACAGATCATAAAAAAAACGGTGTGCTCGTGTAAAATTCCCAACCAGGTATAAGGTTAAAAACTTTAAGAGTCTATGATAAATACTAATTCAGAAGTCAAACAACAAAAATCAGCGTTATTTACAAAATTTTCACAGGACTAGTTTCGATGGTTTTACCGAACCATCATCTTCAGCTGCAAAACCGCAAATGAACAAGATAGGAAATAATGATTAGATAAGATAAGAAAGCCTGGACAAGAATAAGCAAGTGGCGCCATCTGTTGGCGAAACCAGAACTAAAACATAATTTCTCTAAAAGCCGAAGGCAAATTTGGATTGGAATTAGGATCGTTAACTAGAACAGAAAGATTTTTATGAATGTGAAATGCCTCTAGAAAATCCAGTTCTCCAATGGAAGATGTTTTTTGAATAATTTTGGCAGCAGAAAAATTGAAAGTGTGATTTTCGGACCAACAATGTTGAGCAACAGAAGACTTCTGTGTTTCCTTTTTTCTAACATATGCCTCATGTTCTTTGACGCGAAATTTTAAGGCTCTCTTAGTTTGGCCAATGTAAATTAAACCACACTGGCAAGGAATCCTATAAATACCCCAGGAATTCATATCCGGAATGGGGTCCTTGAGTATAGAAGTTGGAATTTTATTGATGGGAGAATAAACAACCCGAAAGTTAAATTTCTGCAAAATATGTGCAACTTTATAGCTAATTGATGGAAAGAAGGGAATGACAACAGAATTTTTATAATCTCCTAAAATAAGAGTGTGGCTTTTAGTGTGTTGAGATGAGAATTTTTTAACTGCTTGATTAATAATGTTGGGTGAAAAGCCCCTGTCAATAGCTATTGCTTTTAAATAATTTAGTTCTTCATCAAGGGCTAGTTTGGAGGAGCAAACTTGAAGAGCACGGAAAACATAGGAATAAAATGAAGCTAACTTTTGTTTAGTCGGATGACATGATTTAAAGTGTGGTGGAAGGCAAACCGATGAAGGTTTACGGTAAACTGTAGTACTGAAGTTGGATGTGTTACGTGTGACCAGAATGTCGAGAAACGGAAGAGAATTGCAAGTCTCAAGTTCAAAAGTGAACTGAATAGCAGGATCAATAGAATTCATTGTTGAAAGAACTTTATTTAAATCATCTTTATTACCTTCAAACAGGGTAAAAGTATCGTCTACGTAGCGGAACCATGCCGGGAAGTTTAAAGTTTCAAACAATTTTGATTCATAATAATGCATGTAGATATCAGCCAGGATGGGACTGAGGGGGCTTCCCATGGCTAATCCTCAGTTTGCTTGTAATATTTATTTTGGAAACACAAAATGTGTTTGTTTCAAACAGAGTTGAGTGAGAGAAATTAGCTCATCAATTTCGATGCAAGAGAAATGAAATTCGCGAAGTCTGGTTTCTAGACATCTTAATGCACCCTCCACTGGGACATTGGTGAATAATGATTTTACATCAAAAGAAACCATGAGTAAATTACTAGGAGAAATGTTTTTAACCTTTTTTACAAACTCTATTGAATTTTTTATGGTGTAAATGTTATTGTCTAATAGAGTGGAAAATCTAGAAACTAAATATTTAGCTAATGGATACGAGGCAGTACCTAAATTTGATACAATAGGGCGGAAAGGAATACCACTTTTATGAATTTTGGGAAGAGCATATAATCTGGCACAATTCGCAACAGATGGGATAAGCGAATGTTTTAAGTTGCTTGAAATGATTTGCGAAGATTTGATCGCAGTTTTTTATTTTGGATAAGTCCGAAGGTGAAGGATCTTTAGGGATCGGATTATATGGTCCTTCGTTTAAGAGTTTAGTGACACCATCGATGTAAGTGTTCTTATCCATGACGACTATCTGGCCACCTTTGTCGGCCTTTGAAATGATAATATCCGGGTTAGAATGAATGAATCTCGCGCATTGTAGCTCTTTCTCTCGCAGTTAGATTTGGTTTCAAAGGTTTATTATTGAATTTCACATTATGAGCGATAAGATGCCTAATCATTTCTTTCTGTGAATCTGAAACTTTACTGAACTTGAAAGCTTTTTCGATAGGAGCCAAAATCTTTGGAATCGAGGGGTTTACAGGTTTGTGAGAAGTTAAAATTATATTTTAGAATTCTCTCTTGTTCTTCTGAAAGACTAACATTAGAAATATTAACTATTGGCTTGATGTTTACAATGGGAAGATTTTTTGAACTACTTGAACTGGAAGACTGTAAAAGAAGTTTTTCGAATTTAACTGCAAGGGTGTTTTTATGACGGTTAACTGCATTCTCCGTTCTAGACCAAGACTTTTGTTCAAGGGCAGTGAATTTTGGATATGATTTAGCGAGTTCCAGATGAAGCTTATAGAGTTCATGTTCAATTTTGGACAATTGTTGACGTGTATCCCTTATCACGGACCGAAGTAAGGCAAGCTTGCAATTTAACAGAATTCTTGAAACGCGACTCGAAGGTTTTTGATTAGATTTGATTTGAATAAAATTGGGGATCAATTTTTTACATTTACATTTAAGTAAAAAGTCAAGATGATTCAGGAATTTTTGCCGTTTCAGGCGTAATTTAGTGAAACGATTAACGGATGAAGGCATGATAAACAATGCAGAAAATCAAACTAAATTAACTGAGCAATAATAAAGTACACACAAAACAGCAGAAAAATCCCTCACTGAAATGAATAGAAAACAAAACGTTTGTAAGCAAAATGCATGAAATCAGACAAGCAAAGCACAATATCCAAATGTACAAAACATAAACATAACTTGAAAATTGGAAAAAAGTACTCACCGAAACTCCTACAATCACAAAATGGCGGCCACATCACGTGCAAAATAGAAAGCAAAATATAAGCCTGTTTGGGGCTTCTATAATTAAGACACAATAACACGCCGAATAAATACTAATTCAGAAGTCAAACAACAAAAATCAGCGTTATATTTACAAAATTTTCACAGGACTAGTTTCGATGGTTTTACCGAACCACCATCTTCGCTGCAAACCGCCCGCCATTAATCATTTGCGGTTTTGCAGCTGAAGGGTGGTTCGGTAAAACCATCGAAACTAGTCCGTGAATTTGTAAATATAACGCTGATTTTTGTTGTTTGACTTCTGAATTAGTATTTATTCGGCGTGTTATTGGGTCTTAATGATAATTATTTGTTAAACAGTGATACAACTACTTAAGCAAAATTACTATTAATTATACTACAGTCAAAAGTCTTTAATCCGGAATCGTCTGGACTTCGGCGATTTCGGACTATCGATTTTTCCGGATTATAGATCATCATTTTAAATCTGGTAAGATAGCATGCAGAAATTATAAAATTAAAAATATGAAACCGTAATTTATAAAATAATGAACAATTATGATCTAAAGGGTATCAAAATTTACAAAAAAAAAAAGCTTAATATTTATTTGTTTACTTTATTAAACATTTCTTTCAACGCGCGCATGCGTAAAGCATACATTACGCATAGCCAAAATTAGAAAATTGCAACCAGAAAACTATTTGATTTGTATTTGTGATATTTATAATGACAAGGAATTTGATTTAAATCATATCAAAGACGGAGTACATCGACATACATTTAGTAAGGAATTATAAGCCGAATAAAATAAAAACATCTGCCCTGAAGATAACGATAGTGCTGACAGATCAACTTCCAGTTCATTGCGCCCCACAACGCCCCCTCCCCCACGCCCAGCAGCGTGAAATTGATAAACAGTTTTCGGAGCGGTTAGATAAACAAAGGATATGCCTTTATCCATTTTTTGTAGCAATTGCACTTTTTGTTTGATGGGCATCGAAACATACTTTCGTTTTGTAGATCCTTTGGGAGCTCCAGCATCGGAAATTCTATTTGACATAATCGAAAGTTCAAGCTTACTTTTATAAAATTGCTCTTACAGTCTGCAAAAAATAATAAGCCGGATCCAATTCGAAGATTAAGGAACAATGCAATCATCAACATTAACTGAAATAGGTAATTAGATAATTTTAGCTTATACCGTCCGTTATACATTAAACGCGCACGCGAAAACGTATTCTGCGCTTGCGCAGACGCATATGCGCAGTCGTAAAAATCTTTCTGCGCATGCGTAGAAAGATTTTAGCTTTGAGGTACAGATTATAGATCATTCCGGATTATGGGTGTCCGAATTAACGACTTTTGACTGTATTACAAAGATAGATAAATTGTAACCAAGCACAAATACTTAAGAGTTGCTTACGTATAATATAAAGGTAATATTATACAGAAGAGGTCAAATATGCCTAAGTTCATAATAATGGAGAAACGTTAGTGAAGGGGTTCTTGTCACGCTTAGTAAACAAACATGGCTGACATGACAGCAGCAAAATTGAGATTATATGGAGAATAATATTTAAATCACGCTGCTCCTTGAAGATTCCTATTTTAACCTTCTGAATCAATAATAGTTCAAGTTTGAAACATTATAAGACTATATTGTTATCGTTAGAAAGAAAGTTTTTTTATACAGAGATATTTGATTGATGTGTTGTAAACATAAATATATATTACACGTTTTATCAGACAAATCAAGAAAATAATTATGTTGCAATAATTATTAATTAAAAATATTTTTTCCAGAAATTGATCAAAATAAAATCTGAAATTTTTCAGAAAATCTTGTTTGGAGACGATTTAGCGCCCCTCTGCGAGAGGTGCCCGAGTCATCATAGGCCCACTTGCCCTCTCCTCGCTTACGCCACTGGTTCAAACATTACACCAATCAATACAAAATAGAATATTATGCTGTTACAAAATGATTAGTAATAGGGAAGCTGAGTAATAGTCTATTTCTCTAATCTTGTATTCCAGAGATATATATTTTAGAGAGGTGTTTTTAATTAAGTCTTTGTTAATTTTATTTTAAAGTATATTACAGCATGAAAATTTTATTTTCCGTCCTCAGCTGATTTTGGCAAATTTATCAGTATATCATTGTATTTATTAGTCTTTGTATTCAAAATACAATAACCCTTATCTATTTTCTATCTCTCTAAAGCAATCTCTTCTGAAAGAACCTATATTTCTGAAAACATAAATAAGCATTACAACTGAACCTCAGCCTTTCTTTACCCACCTGTAGTGCAGATCAGATTTTCTGGAACCATGAAAGGCTGTTCACACTGGAGCTTATCTGTGCTAACGTTGACATCTTATGCAGCCAATATTGCTCCATGATACTGAAAAACCAGTTTTTCTTCACTTGGAAAAACTGAACTTCACATATAGTGAAGCTAATTAACATATGGAACTGATTTTGTTGAACCCAATACTAATAATAATATGAACAACCCAATACTAGTGTGACCGACTTTTAAGTGGTCATCTTAGAGAGGATTATGATTTTTCTTCTTTGGTAAATGTGAGAATAGCCATTGAAAAGCATAACTGGTTGTACATATATAAGAAAGTATATGAAATTCAAAAGCTAAAAATTGGTAGTATATGTATTTTGCAGGTTATATTTATTTTTCTATCTTCTTAAAAATGCTGTTTGACATTTGTTGTGCTGTTCTATATATTGAAACAGATCCAGATGACAAGTGTGCCAGTGGTATAGTTTGAAAATTATTGATAGATCATTGAATAGTACATAGTATGCTAACATTTCAAATTACATTTAAAATGGTATTATCTTATATACTCCAGTTTCATATTATTACTATTTCTAACTAGCTAAGTTTTTTTTTAGTTTAGTGTACAGAACTAGAATTCCATTTTGCCATATAATTTCAAACTTAAAAGCAGCATCATACTCATTAACCAAATATTTGGTTTTAGTACTGACACTGTGAAGCATTATTTGAAATAGTAAACTTGAAGGTATTTTACTCCAACATTCATAGTTTCTTCTGTTGTTAAATCACTTTTTACAAGTGTTGCATTTGTGGCAACTTAAAAATGTTTTGAAACCAAGCTTTGAGAATTCCATTTTGCACTTCATAAAATTTAAAGATTAATATCTCCCTTATCGAAAAGTCAGACTTCCCCCTTTTTTTTTTCAGAATAATTATTGCCTGTTTGAAGAATTAGCCATGGTTAGTCTATAATGCTTAGCCCAATATTTGGTAACATTTATATGCTCTATTTTTATGTCAAATTATGTGAGAAATTGTCTATTGGATTTACTATAATGGATAACATTCAAAATATAAACAGTGGTATTAAAAATATTTTGTGTAGTAAATTATTGGGTAAATCCTGTCAGATATGAAGCTAATCCTAAGCAGCACGATTTGATGTCAGTTACTGATGAGCAGTATGTAACAACACCCTCATAACATCTGCACTTTCGTTTGATGTAACCCCGATAGATTCTCATTAAGCCATGTTTCGATTTTACGAATAATGAACTGTTATTGTTATATTTTTTATGCTTGCATTTTGAAAAGAATGATTAAAATTTGAGATCTGCCTTCTTCAGAGCAGCAAGCAGTGGATTATTTTCAAAGTTTGTGATTCCTCCATTAAAAAAAGTACATATTAATGGACACAATATGATGAGCTGAATATGGCTGACAAAATAGTAATAGACTGAAAAAATTAGGTCTTGGAAGTTTTTATTCATAGCATATTAAACAGAGCTTTTGGTAGGAAAGGCCTAACAAAATGAAAGAAATCTATGAAAGCTTTTTTACAAAGCGCAAACACAACTTAAAGAATTTCCTGTTAAATTTCTTTACCTTTTTTTCTCCCCCTGAAAGCATTAAATTTTCTATTGAACTCGTTCATGCCTCGTAACTTTTTTTGACTAGTGTCTGCTGAGATTTGCTATCTGCGTTGTCAGCATCAGATTCACTGCTTAATTCATTTCCATTATTGATAAATAATTTGAAAATGATTAGATCTGTGAAATTTCATTCTACTCTTGACAGTTTCTTCTCTGTAGTTCTTTTTGATAGCAGGTAGATTATATTCATTTGCATGTAATGAAAACCATGCTTTTTAAATTTAATTACTGATCATGTTTGGTATCGTCTTATTTTGTAAATCTTATAACACATAACATTGGGAACACCAAGTTTTTTTAATGATAGTTTCGATATTATTTTATTTTTGTGACTAATAATTATCTTTCTTTTTAACTGATTAAATTATTTCCATACTCGGAGGCTGTAATTTATTTATGCATTTTTATGGGGTTAGTATGGGAGGGGATTACTGATTAATGAAAGAATATTTTTTATTTGCATTTAACCAGGTTTATGTTTTATTTAATGATGAGTGTTAAATTAGCGTATTTTCAAGAAAATTTTAAAAAATGGGAAAAAACTTTTTCGGCATGTTAAATTAAAAAATTGTATTAAATTAAAGTTTGTTTTACCTTTGTTTGTAAAAATGAACAAATTGTTAAATTTAGGAAGTCTTGAAATCAATATGAAATTGTATTTTAAAACTATGTAAAGCAATATAATATTTTCTTACATTAGTAATTAGTGTACAAATATATGCATTTTTATTTTGTTTATTTTATGTATATATAATATTTGAATTTTAACAGAATACTTGAGAAGAAAAGAAAACAAAATAAGAGAATATGAACAGAAACAGAAGGCTATTTTAGATGCTAAAAAGGCAGAAGAAGCCAAAGCAAAATCTAGAGGTGAATATATTTAAGTTTTTCATTTATATGCTTTTGGTTTATTTGCCATAACTTTTAACGGCATTTTAGAGCATATCAAGTGTGTTAAAACTTCTGCAAATTTTAATTAGAAATGTTAAAACAATTTACTGCAGTGCAAAGTACGAAATCCAGACATCCAATATTCAGACCACCAGCAACTTTTTTTAAATTCCTTGTTAGGAAGTATTGTAATCACAAAAAATTCTGGGTATCATATTTCAACAAAAATATCCATTTTGACTACTATCAAATGCAATTTAACAATGTTTTGGTATGACATCTGTACGTAAGGACAGAATAAATGACTCTTTCTCCCCAAACGTATTATAAAACTGATTTAAAATGGATTCAGAAGAGATTTTCTTCATGTTGTCTGTACGTATTAATTCAAAAACAAGTAACCTCAGGACATTGGAATTTTGTGTATAGGACTGATATAATAATAGTTGTGTACCTACCTTTTCAGTTGCAATTAGCCATACCAAAAATATATAAATGTATATATATATACATTTACAGAAATACAATCTTTTACACAGTTTATCTCAGTTTATTACTAAGAAAGAAACTTAATGCTAATTTCAGTGCTGGACTGATTCTTGATATTATGAAGAGTTAGAATTTTGTTCATGAAGAGATGAGAGCATTTGACATTGCTAGAATTATTTTTATGTATCAGGGCACTGAAAATATAAAAGAAACTTTATGAATGGAAAAGTCAGAAATGAGGAAGGTTATAGGATTTTATCAGATGAAAATATTCTATTTTTATGTATCAGGGCACTGAAAATATAAAAGGAAACTTTATGAATGGAAAAGTCAGAAATGAGGAAGGTTATAGGATTTTATCAGAGGAAGCTCTAAAATAGCAAATGTGGTTGTGATTGTGATATGGATAAACTTAAAAATATGATAATCAGCAAAGTATAGCTCAAATTTAATGATATAAATTTGTGTAGTATTTGAAGTGTTGTGTAAAGGAATGTCTGTATATATTTTCAAAAGGTGAACGTACACATTTTCCAGATGACAAAGTGAAAAATTTGTGTAAATTTTATTTTAATTAAACCTTGTTGTTAAGCAAAATCCTGTGGGTCTTGCTTTAAAGAAGAAATTTTTTATCGATCTCGTACATTAAAAAAGAAATACAAATTTTTTATTAAATATTTAAAAGTAGTCTACTTCAAACTTTGAAGTAAATGTTAATTAATTTTCATAATGCTGTCTTATAAGTATTTTAGTTCTAATTAAAATGGAAGGGGAATGAATTACATTACTATTTAACTTCAATGCAAAGTGTATAAAGTCAAGTTTTATAGGTATATAAGGGAGTAATTATGTAACACCAAATTTGTTTGGGAAATTGATGTGGAATTGCAATATGAGAACAAAAAATTGAAGTACTTTCTCTAATTTAAGAAAGAAAAGAAAACTCCCATTAATATTGAGACAATGAGTGGCTGTCATGGATATCATGTACAAAGTTTAAGGACTGAATTTTTCAATCTTACTAAAGCTGCCTTGTCATAATTACTGGCAGTGATTACTAACGTATCTTGCACCCATCCAAATATCGCTTGCATATGAAAAAGAGTTTGAATGGAATTCTCTGTTTAATTTTATGTATCTTATACTTGTCTTTATGAATTCAGTAACTGAACTGCAAGAAACCAAAAAGTTTTCTTTTTACACTACAATAGTCATCAAGTAGCATCTTGCAGATGAAAGTATAATCGTTAATCACTTCCCTTGCTCACCAGGTTTGGTATTTGCAAACTTTCTAAGGGGAAATCTGAACTTTAAAGGGCATCATTTTGAGAGTTTTCAGAAAATTGTAAAGATGATATCTATATATATATATATCTATATATATAATAAAAGAGTTTAATAATTGGTTTTAGAGAAGCAGTTGAGATTTTTCAGATTTCAGTATTCGTAGTCATTCCTAAAATTTTGTACAAACGTTGTGTAAGAGGCTTGAGAGATGTTATTTATATATTAAAATATAGGTTTAACGTGTGAGATGTGGGAATATAGAATATGTAACTTGATTTATCAATAAAGTATTGAATAAAAGCTTTGTTAAGGAGTTTTATATGTATGAAATGTTTTTTTTTTTTTTTCCTTACAGATCCTTCTGCATTTGATGCAGCATGCTTTCTGACTATTTGCACTCCCATATAAAAAGTGCCAACATGTTGACAGTTTTATGAATTAGCAGAAAATGCTTATTTGGTTAATCTTTAGAGCTCAAAGATATTGTTCTATTCATAAAACGATAATGAAAGAAAATTTTTAAAAAAATTACGAGGAAACAGAATTCTGTAATGCCTTCTTATAGTTGATGAATACTCTGTAGTAAAATTATAGTTGAATATGAAACAGAATTCAACTTGTGTTCAAACACATTTGTGGTACATATGTTTAGATTGGCTATTGTGTGTGTATTCAAAAATACACCAAAAACACAGCAGTTCTACTGCATTTCAAAACTGGGAGTGCAGATAATCAAAATACCTAATGTAACTGCATGCTAACCTTTAAATTCAAATATAATATATGTTAGTTTTGAAATTGTTTTCAAGCTTAATTTTTTATTTGAAATTTAGATAACGCAGAATGTACTTTCTGTAAAGAATTTCATTAGGAAGTAACGTGTGTTTTGAGAAGGCCTGATTAATTCTTAGCAAATAGAAGTTGGTTTAAGTGTGTGAATATTTGATGTCTTTGATGTGTGATTAAGATGTCTGTGGTTTATTAGATATTACATTTTTATAGTAGTAAAAATGTTCTATTCAATTTTATTTTGATTTACCTAGTAAAATATACTAATTAATTAAATATGGAATTTAATTTTTATGTAGTTCTATTACATTTACCTATCATTTTCAGAATTTCTGTGCTGCAGTAATATAATTCATTATTTTCATTTAATTCTGAAATTTGTTACCAAAGGTACTATTATGGCAGTACAAATTTCAAAGAATTTTTGCTTTTGCTGGTGAATAAATATTGAATGTGGTGTAGAAATGTGGTGCCACATTATCACTATTTTTATTTTTGCAGTGAAATTCTTAATCTCGGGAACTTCTTTTAAATTGCATTTTATGATTTTGCGTTGTGAAGACTGATTTAATAATGTATTGTTGTTTTGGAAAAAGTTCTGAGAAAATGTAATACTAAATGTTATATACTGTAGACATGTCTGCTAGTGTTAGATTTTTGCAAAATATTTGTCTGCCTAAAATTAATCATTGTTACTGTCTCCTGACAAAAAGAAAAAAAGAAAGAAAGAAATGTCGAGAGAAAGAGACCAATCAAATTTTGAATTAAATTTAGTCTAGTATTTTTGAAAGTATATCCATCATATTTCTATTTAAACCTGCCTCCACCTAAACATATTATATGCAGAGATTAAGGTGACATTTTCAGGCTAATAAGCAGTTCTTTCGTAACTGAAATCATTAATTATTGAAATTGTTTTCAAGCTTAATTTTTTATTTGAAATTTAGATAATGCAGAATGTACTTTCTGTAAGGAATTTCATTAGGAAGTAACATGTGTTTTGAGAAGATCTGATTAATTCTTAACAAATAGAAGTTGGTTTAGGTGTGTGAATATTTGATTTATCATTAAGATGTCTGTGGTTTATTAGATATTAATTTTTTATAGTAGTAAAAATGTTCTATTCAATTTTATTTTGAATGATCTAGTAAAATATACTAATTAATTAAATATGGAATTTAATTTTTATGTAGTTCTATTACATTTACCTATCATTCCCAACAACTAAGAGTTTCACTGCAAAAATAAAAATAGTGATGATGTGGCACCACATTTCTATACTACATTCAATATTTATGTTGTATATTTTCCATCTGAATGCACTTCTTTTCTTTCTTTCTTTTCAAAGTTCTTCACTTTGTTTATTTTCATTGCATAAATTGAACTCGAGCATTTCATAGCTCTTGAGTCCAATTATTTTATCTTATTATTACTAAGAATGATATTTGTTAATTAACTTTATTAACATTAAATTTTAGCAATATATGGGTATATTTTCCATCAACAAAGAAACTAAATTCTACAAAAATGAGTAAGGTAATGTTTCTTGTACAGTAATAAAGGTCTATGTTTCTTGCATACATGTATGCAAGAAACAAGTGTGAATGCCTTGATTGTTCTAAGTTTATTACTGTAGATCTCACAGTTTCTTTACTTAATGGTATTTTTGCTAGGCATCTATTTAAGTGCTGAACAAATTATTCACTTTATTTGTTTGCATTGTATATGCTCTGTAAAGTTCATTTACGTAGGTAAGTTGAAAAATAAGTTTCCCCTGTCGACTATGGTCAGAGTTGTGTATGAAAGTCAAAAAATAGAATGAGACATTAAAGATATGACATACCTTTATTTTTCCACATAGGTACCAAGTACATTGAGACATTTGTCATATCGCTTGGTAAGCTTCAAAAAGCCCTCCAGGAAAAAATCAGGGCTTTGCATATGGATGAAGCGTTGAACGGCTATGGGCGAAAGGCAACACAGCAGGAAAACGCGCAAGTCAACCGATACACCATTGGGTAGGTCGCTGCAAATCAAGCAGATGGCGCTGTTGGAGTGCTTTGCGCAAAGCGGAGACCAGCCTCTCATTTGAGCCCCGGTAGGTATGGAGAGAAGGTGTGTTTTGAATTCGTGGTCAAAGGAGAAGTGAGAGCGGTTATCCGCTATGAATGGGCACGTGGAGTATCAGGAACAGAAATTCATAACCGCCTCGTGGAAGTCTAGGGCCAGGTGTGATGTCGAAGCAAATGGTGCGGAGATGGTTTCGCACATTCAGTGATGGACGTCAGCAAGTGGAAGACATACCGAGAGCTGGACGGACGCGCATGGCCACTACAGATGCAAATGTCAGGAAGGTGGATGACATGATTAGAGCGAACTGGCATATCACCATCGATGAAGTAGCGGAAGAACTT